TGGGCAGTGTTTCGTTCTGCTGTGCATGGGGTCACTATGAGTCGGAAACGACTCGACGGCACTTAACAACAACTATAACTCAGCAGTGCTGCTCCCAGGACTTCACAATGGAAAAATCTTTACAAGTGTGCACCAGGAGACATGTACAAAATGTTCTCAGCAGCCTGTGTTCAAGCCCTAAATACAACCAATAAATACCCATTAACACTGAAATGGATTAAGTGTTTTCTGAAATGGATTAAGTGTTTTGTAGTTAGTTATATGATGGAATACCCTACAGCTATGAGAAGGAATACATTATGGATGCCCACAACCATATGGATGCATTTCATACTGTATGATCAGTAAGTCACAGAAGAGTAAGGAGTCTGATTCTATACATAAAATGTTCACAGACATCCTGAACTAAATAATGCATACAATGTTTAGGGATACAAGTGTGGTAAATTGTCAAGGCAGGTAAGGAAATCATAAACCCAAAAGGCAAAATGGCAGTTACTTCTGAGGGCGAAGGGGTGGGTAGTAGGGTTGGGAAAAGAATTTCAGTAGTAATGGTCTATTTCTTAAATGGAATGGTAGGTAGGTACACAGGTGTTCATTGTTTTCTTTAGAAGTAATGTGGTAGATCTATTTAATATTTTAAATAAAAATACTAGCGTAGAGGATCATAGCATTGGAGAAAGTTAGTGTTGAAGAGATCCCATGGTCGAGTCGTGCGGTTGATCGAGTTTCCATGGCAGCCAGGTTGCTTACCCTTCTTAGCGTGGTAAGGCTGTGGCCATCACTGCCCTTGGCTGCAGCTCTTGGTATTTGATGCTGTGCTCTGAGTAGGAGAGTGTCCTTTTTGTTATCATAGGCCTCCCTGATTGTGACTGAGGAGCTGCACCTGATCACCTTCGAGACGGAGGTATATCACCAAGGCCTCAAAATCGACCTGGAGGTGAGTTCTGCAGCAGAGCTGCAGGGGTAGGGCCGTGTGCAGGGGTGTTGTGGACAAGAACTCAACATTGGAATTGTTACTAGTGAAGGTGGAGTGATGACTGTTGGCTGAGCACTGTGTTCTTTGGCCTTTTCTCCAAAATATCCCCGGCATCCCAGCTGAGAATAAAGTCTTTCTTGAGTGCTTAGAAGGTACATTACCTGAACACTCAATGTTAACCAAACTTGATAAGAAAATCTGTATTTAGAAATCGATTATGAGTGACTTTATCAAGTTTCAGCAAAATAGTCTTTATGCAGTTAGTGTTTTCTAGTGTGCAGAAAATCATGGCATTTAAAATATCTTTTCCCACCTTTGTCAACCTTTCAACTAAGATACCTGAAAAAGCAGGAATACTACTCCTTGATTTCTGGGACCTCTCTGTTTAATGGGAAGGTAGAGCTTCAATTCTTAGAGAATGTCTTCTGAGTATTATAAATGGAGATCCTAAGGGATGTGGGTCAGGCTTTGAGCAAGTCAGAGTTTACAAGTTAATAATTGCATCTGAACATCAATCCAAGTCCCAAAGGTCTCTGTTTGGAATTCTTTCCACTCTAAGAGTCAAACTCCTCAATCACACTCCTCTCCTAGAGTTGGCAGTAGCATGGTTTATGGCATGTCCTTTTAGTCCCACTGTGAGAAATGGATGAAGAGATTTTGGAAGCTGTGAGAACCTGTCTGCCTCTCCAGCTCATTGTCTACTTCTCCCACAGACGCACTCCTTGCCCGTTGTGGTGATCTCCAATATTTGTCAGATGCCAAATGCCTGGGCTTCCATACTATGGTACAACATGCTGACCAACAACCCCAAGGTTAGTGTCCCATCCTCTTGGAAACTGCGTTCTCTTGTGACTTCTCATGTCTGGAGGTTCCTGGAGTACCTAGTATGGGCCGTTAAGCCCTGTCCTCTCACCTGATTTAGCAAATATGTTTTATTTTTTAAATAGAACGTGAACTTTTTCACCAAGCCCCCAATTGGAACCTGGGATCAAGTGGCCGAAGTGCTGAGCTGGCAGTTCTCCTCCACCACCAAGCGAGGCCTGAGCATTGAGCAGTTGACTACGCTGGCAGAGAAGCTCTTGGGTCAGCATTTTACCTCTTCTCCCTCCTGTCCTCTTCAGAGAAGGAACTGGGCCCATGGGACTGTTCATTCAGGAAATATTTACTGAGCGTCTGCCTTGAGCAAGGAAGTGTGCATCTTGGTGACCCTTTTTATAAGGTGGGAGGCAGATTTCTTTTCTCCTGGTGGCTGTCTCCCCTCACCCTTCCAGGGTACTACTTCATCTGACCTTAGGGAGGTATTTTAAGTGCATGTTAGAAAGTGAAGCTAAAGGCTTGACATTCTTTGTTGCATCTTCAATGAACTGTAGGCTTGTTTCAGAAATTTTTTTCTGAAAAAAAAAATATTAGGAGAATGTTTTATGTGCTTCCTGGACTATAAGTAGATATGCTCTATGCTGCCACCCAGTGTGACTCTAACAGCAGCAGCTTGGTGTGTGTAGCTGGCCCTAAGACCACCACGGGAGGCTGGAGGAACAGGGGGTTGTACATCGCTCACCACATCTGCTGGGTGGGTGACAACTCAGGAGGGTTCTCATTATGAGGTCGGGGATTTGTGTGTGTGTGTGCGTGCGCACGTGCACACACATGCATGCATGGTGGTGACAGTCCTCAACTACGTGAAAACAAATGGTCTCATTGCCCAGAGGGGGATAAATATATGTGTATGTTCTAAGAAGATCTTGACTCAAAACTGAAAATTATACTACTTTATCTGTTTTTTAACTTTAGGGCCTGGTGTGAACTACTCAGGGTGTCAGATCACATGGGCTAAATTTTGCAAAGTAAGTGATCTTATTAAATCTGTGTGGCTCTGTCTTGGGAGGGAGAAGGAGTGCTCACCTTCTTGGTTGCTATGGGGGACACTGGTCCTAAAGGCCCTGAACTCTCAGCCCAGCTGCTAGTAGAACCTGCTCCAGCGTAAACAAGCCTGAGCTACAACTGCTTGAGGATTTTGGTGGTACACTGTGTCCCTAACAAGGAGGAGGCTGGGGCTGTGGTGGTAGACTTGCCTTTCCCATTATTCTTTTTTCCAGGAAAATATGGCTGGCAAGGGCTTCTCCTTCTGGGTCTGGCTGGACAATATCATTGACCTTGTGAAAAAGTATATCCTAGCCCTTTGGAACGAAGGGTAGGTTGAAGCTCTTCTGTCTGGTAGAGAGTGCGTGTGTGTGACCAAGTCATCTGCTCTCAGCAGGCCGATGGCAGGACATCCAAACGTTGCTCCTCTCTGGCTCCAGGTACATAATGGGCTTCATCAGTAAGGAGCGAGAGCGGGCCATCTTGAGCACCAAGCCCCCAGGCACCTTCCTGCTAAGATTCAGTGAAAGCAGCAAAGAAGGAGGAATTACCTTCACTTGGGTGGAGAAGGACATCAGCGGTAAGCTGGGCCCTTACTTACCCCACCTGGTGGCCATTGCTGCCACCGCATGGCTGCTGCTAGTTTCCAGCACCCGCTGCCCCCTAGTGGGCACAGATGGACTCAGACTGTCCTGCTTCAGACTTGTAAAACACTTGGGAGACTTTTTCTTCTTTTCTCTAAATTTCTTCCAGCAGAAGGATTTGCTTGCCATTTTGTTTCGCTTGCTCCAGTGGCTAAGGGTTACCTAGAAATTGTCTATTTAAATTTTGTTCTTTGTCCTTTCTTTCCTACCCTGTTCATAAATCTTACACAAGTAATTATTCATGTTTGTTGCCTGTGAACCACTTGGGTAGCCTCTCCAAAAGCCAGCCGGAACATATCCGTAGTGCCAGGGCTGATTCTCAGGGTCTCAGGCTCTGCATTGACATAAGTCGTCTCCCCAGAGGAAGGGTAAATCAGGTACTATTTTCCGTGGGCTCCATTACCTTCCCTCCCCTCTCTCATGACAGGGAAGACCCAGATCCAGTCTGTGGAGCCATATACCAAACAGCAGCTGAACAACATGTCATTTGCTGAAATCATCATGGGCTATAAGATCATGGATGCCACCAACATCCTGGTATCTCCGCTGGTCTATCTCTACCCTGACATTCCTAAGGAGGAGGCATTTGGAAAGTATTGTCGGCCAGAGAGCCAGGAGCATCCTGAAGCTGACCCAGGTAGTTGTTGATTTTCCACGTTTTAGGCATTTAATTCTGGGGAAAGTAGGAAATTGCAGAAACGTTGGAGGAATGACAGGTAATGTCTGAATAGCCCGGAGGATCTTTATTTCTCTTTATGGGAAAGAACTTTGTAGTATTTTTGGGGGGTGGCTGATGGGATTAGAGGAGATCAGATTCCCCAGTCCCTGACACACACCTCCTCCCCCACACACACACACACATTCAAAACAGACCTAAAACACTACAGAGAGAGAGTGAGGGCAGAGTTCCTCTGAAACAGGATGCCCCAAAGCACAGATCTTACGTAGTAAATGCTGGAAGGTTTGCAACTCAAACTTCAGTCTAGCATGTTTCCTTTTCCTCATCACCACACAACGTGAGCAGTGTCAGGTGGGATGAATAAAGGCTGTCTGGAGGAAATGATTAACAGCAGAGTCGGGGAGAGTGCTTGAAGAGGAAGACAAAAACTGGGAGGAGGGGCATGCAGTTGTTTTAGAACGTGCAGCTGGTGAGATGATTGTTTCCACGTGCAGGAGCATGCGTGTTTGTATGACCTGTGTAGAACTTACTTCACATTAAACCTGTATTCTCTGGGGGGTGTCATCTGCGTGGAGGGGCCTCTGTCTGCTCCAGTTCCGTCTCTACTGCTGTGACTCACTGGGCTCTCTGGTCAGATCCTCATCAGGAGTCTATGGTTTGCTATTCTTTGTTGTAATTTGACTTACATTAATTGCAGAGCTGGCTGTGGGCTCTTTAAAATGATCCTTTGGGGTTAGCTCCCTGCCCCAGTTGGTTTTATTTAAAAAAAACTATCTTTGTACAAATGAAGCACACTCACAGATGCAGACCCACCAACTTCCCTTCGACATTTTCATAGGCATTATCTGTGAGGAATTTCTTGGGATGTGGGGAATGGGGCTTGGAAGGAGAAATGAGAGCTGATGGACAACGGGCCTTCCTTTCTCCTTGTTTCTGGTGTTGGGTTTGGTTCATAATGCAGGTTTAACTCTCACTTCCTGTCTGCGACTTATCTCTCTCTCCATGTCGTGCTTCAGTTGGGAGATCTGTTTATCAGCCCCCGTCACCTACTCTGTTCCTTCTGCAAGACGATACTGCCATGCAAGTTTTGGCCCTCTTACTCCTGGGGCTTTGGGGATCCCAGCTCCCAATCTGAGGCTGCCTTCTCCATTGCCACCATTGCCCTCCTGCGCTTGGGGGGTCACAGTCCTTTCCTGTCTGGAGGCAGCAGGTTTCCTCAGGGGCAGGATGCCAATCAGGAGAAGGGAATTCAGAACCTGAGTGATTTGCCTGCCTGGGGTATTGTCGAGGGGAAGGAGTGTGCTCTGAGGAGCTTACTGTGGGTGTGCTGATGGAGTCAGGGGATGTATGTCGGGGTGGGGGGGTATATGTGATGACCTGTGTTAAAATGGGAGTCTTCAGGGCGAACAGTCTGTGACTGTTTCCTCTCTTCCTCTGTCAGGAGAGTCGCTGCACAAGAGGCTCTATCAGAGATAGACCATCTTCCTCCGAGTCACACAGCTCCTTCCTCCTTTATTCTCCACAGAAGCCTACACAGTGTTTCCTTCTGGCTGGAGGGGGAGATTTCGAGCCACTTGTAAATTAGAAGAATTACACTTATAGCATATGTTCGTACTTTTAGTTCTCTGGTGGCGTAGTGCCTAAGGCATTTGACTGCTAACCAGAAGGCTGGCAGTTCAAACCCACCAGTCACTCCTCGGAGGGAAGACTGGGCAATCTACTTCCATAGAGATACTGCCTCAGAAACCCAAGGAGGGGTCGCTATGAGTCGGTTCGACTCCAGTTTGGTTTTGATTATTTTTCGCTTCTATCGCTCCTTCTCAGGGCGACGCTGTTTTCTTAGCCACCTTGATCACTGGGGAGTTCAGTCATCTCTGTCCATCCTGGCTTCCCTCAGACCAAGGCAGTTGGATTTATAAGACCCCAGCACCCGGCCTTACTAGGTCCTTTGGATTCTGCACTGAATTACTCTATTTCTTGGCCAACCATAACCTGAGCTGGGAGTCTAAAGATCCTTTTACAATTCTTTTTCTCAGGTCCTCCTTATACTTGCTGGTCCTTCAGTTTCTGCGTTAACCCCAAGCTCTCTAACTGCCTCTCTGGGCGTCCCTGCCCCACACCAGACCTCCTAAGTATGTGGTTCACCCGAATCCCCACATTTGTTGCCAGTATGTCTGAGGCTCCTTGACTTCTGGATGTAAGCATTTAACATCGAAAATTCATTGACTCCAACCCTCGCGTTTCTGACTATAGAACAAGAGTTCTTAAAGACAGGGATCATAGACCCTTGGCCCCGCCTCCTTTCCCCTCCCATTTATTTTATACTTGAGAGAGAAAGTGCCTTGCCCCAGGTTTCTTAGCTACTGAAGACAGAACTGGGCCCAGGTTTTTTGTCATTTAGTCCAGAGTTAATTGTACTACTCCATAAAGAAATCTGCCTTGAATACAAAGGCTGCTTTTTGTTGGATATATTTATTCAACTGGGAATTTACTAATACCAGCATCTGGAAATGTAATACAGGTGGATTAGTGTTGACAGGAGTAAAGCTATAACCTTTGGCACTAGAACCACAAACGTTAGCAGTCTCATGTTCTCTTAAAGACTCAGTGATACTGCCAACTGAGCTGGACCCCGTGCAAAGACTACACAGGCCTGCTTCCTGCATGCAGAGAAGTTATTATCTGAGAGACACACCAGGCCAGAACCGAATCCTGAGACCACAGATAGCAGTCCAGTGTTTACATACTCTAGGGAGAGGATGCACACAAGGTTGGCACTAGTTGAGGCTTAGGGACAGGGGCATGCTGACAGGTCTCTGTGGTCAGGAAGACTTTATAAAAGGAGTTGAATTTCAAAGCTCTAAGTACTTACTATATCAAATAGTATACAGGAGGGGAGGGTGGGTCACACTGGAGTGAACGTGACGGTGGTTTCCAAAAAAATCTCTGCTTTGGGATGTAGTGAGTTTGCAGTTAGCCCTGGTGTGGCTGACAGCATCCCCCAGCATGGCCTTTCAAGTCATGATCAGTAAGCTCAAGTTTTCTTCTCCTTCCTAGGTGCTGCCCCGTACCTGAAGACTAAGTTTATCTGTGTGACACCGTAAGTGGCTTCCCTTCCCAAGTTTGCCTCCGTTTCTAATGTCCTCAGTTACCCTTGGGAATAGAACACTGGGCTGGAGTTCTCCTGTGAAGGGTTGGCAGCCCCTGGACTATGTTTAGTACTCAAAGTGACCTTGTGTGTTTATAAAGCTTGAGCTTTTATTTTTCTGTTGGAGACCAGAGTTTGATGGCTTGTGTGTGTGTGTTCTGTTCTTTTTTTTTTCTCCATTGTGTCTTGTCAACCCGGCCCTTTCCCCTCCTGCTGCTCCCCATTTCCTACAGAACGACCTGCAGCAATACCATTGACCTGCCGATGTCCCCCCGCACTTTAGATTCATTGATGCAGTTTGGAAATAATGGTGAAGGTGCTGAGCCCTCAGCAGGAGGGCAGTTTGGTGAGTATTTGGTTGATAGACTTTGTCCCGTGAGGGAAGTCAGTTGCCTGGGTGTGATGCTTGTTTGGGAGTCAGGAGCTGGTCACATCCATTGGTAGAAGGAGGCTTGACAGGGTTCTAGAAAGGAGGAGGCTCTCCGGTAGAAATGGAATATATGCTATATTTGTCATTGTAAAATGTTTTGTAGCCACATTTCTTCTAAGAACAACGAAACAGAGCAGGTACAGGTAATTTAACCTAAGAAATCAAAAATACTGTCATTTGAGCAAGTAATAAAAAATTAATGAGATGTGTTTACCTTCTTTTTTTTTTGGTATTAAGTCCTTGAAGGCTGATGGGAGTTTTACACCCACAGCATATCTTGACTTGGACTAGCCACATTGCAGGTACTCAGTAGTCACGTGTCAGGTAGCGTGGGGCTGCTATACTGAACAAGGCAGCCTTAGATCTTTACAACTCAGAAACGCACTGCCATAGAGTCGATTCTGACTCCTAGCAACCCTATAGAACAGAGTAGAACTGTCCCACAGGGTTTCCAAGGCTGTAAATCTTTTTAGAAGTAGATTGCCCCATCATTCTCCCACAGAACGGCTGGTGGGTTTGAACCAGTGACCTTTTGGTTAGCAGCTGAATGGTTTAACCACTATGCTACTAGAGCTCCTTCTTTAAACACGGAGGACAGGAAATGTGGAAGCAGATATCGGGGAAGGTTGCACAACAGTGAACATAATGTCACTGGACTGTGCACGTAAAAATGGCTGAAATGGTAAATGTTGTTATATATATGCTGCCACAATTTAAATAAATAAATAGGGGAAAAAAACAGAGGGCAGGTTTCCATCTGGATTACCTGACCTTGTCTTGGCCTTTGGGGCCAGGAGGTGGGAGAACAGTGGTGACCCAAGCTAAGGTATGGGCCCTCCCAGATGTGGGGTCAGGGGACTGAACTGGCTTTCCTGTCTTGTTTCTCCAGAGTCCCTCACATTTGAAATGGACTTGACCTCGGAGTGTGCTACCTCGCCCATGTGAGGAGCTGAGAACGGAAGCTGCAGAGAGATGTATCTGAGGCACCCACCTGTGTCGTGTTCCACCACCCTTTAAACAGCCAAACCCCAGATCGTCGGAAACTCCTAGCTTTGTGGTTCCAGACTTTTTTTTTTTTTTTAATCTCCTCCTTTTGCTATCTTCAGCAATCTGGGCACTTTTTAAACTAAAGAGATGACTGAATGTAGGTGATATGCTTTTACCTAAACATGAGTAAGAACGCTTCTCTGAGACTGATCGGGGGTGTGGAAGGGGGCGGCAAGAGGAAGCAAAAGGAAGTGTCTTGTGTTCTTTTTGTTCCTCTGTCCTTCTTTCTCAGCAGCTTTTTGTTGTTGTTGTTAGACAAGTGCCTACTGGTGCCAGTGGCGCCCCTCTGCCTGTCTCTATAAGCTAATGTCACAGGCTGCCTCTAGCTACGTACTGCTGGCATTGCACTTTTCACCTTGCTAACATCCAAATAGGAAAGAGGACTATCAAAGCCCCTAGGTTTCTTTTTAAATTAAAAAAAAAAAATTAAAGGGCAGAAGAAAAACCCTTACAGGCATAGCCTTTTCTGTAGTTGAGAATATTCAGTTATTAGCCTCCCTGGTGCTTTAGGTGTGGAGCTTTCTTCAGGCTGATAACTTATAGAAATCTTGAAGTGGGCTTCAGATCAAACCTTTAAAAGACGTCTGAAGCTGTGGCCTAGCCTTTTGTTTTTGAAACAGGCAAGTTTAAGGAGAACCTAAACATTTTAGAGTTTTTTTATAAACACAGTTTTTCTTTTCCCCTTTAATGTGTTGGCCTATTTAATGGGTAAGGCTGGGCAGAGGAGCCTCTAAAACCGTAACTCCCTTCCTCCCCAGATTTAGCTCCCATTCCAGAGCCTGGGTTGTTTGTGGGTACCTTGTAAGGGCTGGGATGATCCTTCCTTCCTTCCGTCCTTCCTTCCTCTCCCCTGTCCTCCTGACCCTCCTAGTGGCATGTCTTTTTCTAGTGTGCCCCTCATCCTGTGTGTTTAGGAATCCTGTTCTCAGGACCTTGTGAAATAAGGAGAGTTATGGCTGAATGTGACTCAGACTCTAGGGCCCCAGCAAAGTGTCCAGTTGAGCTCAGGGAATACAGTTGTTGCCCAGTTTCTAGTTGATTCCCAGCAGCACCTGAAATCACTTCCTCACCAGGTTAAACCAGGGCAAAGGCTTACTGATTGATTGCCCACTGGGGCCCCTGTGACACAGACCAACCAGCCTGGACCTCTATGGCCTTCTGTTTCTGCCTGCCGCCACCTGTCACTCAGCTAGCATTTACGGGCCATTCCGCAACACTTAGTCATGATCTGGGTAGTCTTTGGCTATTTGGGCCCCTTTGACCCAGGCGAATGGCTGAATTACATGATCCGCAGCCATCTTGTCTCATTTGGCCAGAGCATCTGTGGAATGTTATTCTTTATGCTCAAAGTAGCCAGTTTCTGAATTATGGGATGAGGACCTTTTCTGCAAGACGAACCCCTGCCCTCCTGCCTGGAAGCAGTGGACACAGGCACAGAGCACGCCCTGCTCCAGCAGCACGCTTCAAGCTCATAGTAAGCTTAATTCATAAACTGAGAGAATATTTAGAAAGCTGAGACTTGGCCTTACCATCGGGTTCAAATCACAGCGACCTTGGGCAAGGATGTGGAATTCTCTGGAGCAGTATTGTAAACTTCATGATCTTAGGTAGCATGTGTAGCTGTTTTTAACTTTGATTGTAGCAAAAGTTCCGAGAGGAGCCGAGACTTGTTCTGGCCATTCCCCGTAAGAACAGAGTTCTCCGGGACCTGCCGCTTTCTCGCCACTGTTGCCCTCCCGTCCCCAGCCCGGCCGAGGGATTCCTGTGGCTCGCTTAACCTACCTATCCAGTGGTTTTTAAGCTGCTGTCCTGGCCACTGCATTCAAATTCCAATGTATACTTCATACTGTAAAAATTTATATTATTATTTTTTTTTGTATATTGCTGTATCTACTTTAACTTCCAGAAATAAAAGTTACACAGGAACTGTCAGACGTGGCAATTCTGTCTTTGGCTGGTGGTAGGTGGGGCCTGGGTGGGAGCACAAGGGGAAGGGTCTTAAGAACAGGTGGTTGCCCAGCTGAGGTCGGTGAGTCTGTCCTCCTTGGTGCAGGCCCAGCTCTGGGCACTGAGCCCCTCCTCTACCTTACGTTACCAGCAGCCTTGAGGTAAGGGGAACTGGGGGAGCCAGCAGCCATACTCCCGGACAGAAAGGTGTCAGAGCCCAGGCCTCCTGCACGCTCCTCCTATCCACAGCCTTTGCAGCCTGCTGTGTCCTGTTCGGGGTCAGATAAACTATTCCCACCCCACCTCTCTGGACCCTCCGCCACGGTTGGCTTCATTATCACTTTCTCCTCAGTTCACTCAGTAGGGACAACACTTCCCTGGCTGGTGCTGCCGGGGCCCCAAGACAGCCATGGAGAGACGCTCATCAACACACCATCAGAGCCCACTCGCTTGCTCCCCACCCCCTCCACTGGGTAGAGTGCCATGGAGACGAGCCTGTGCAGGAGATAAGAGCCTTCCCCTGCAGAGATGGAGCAGATTAGTGTGGCTCACTGCTGGTTGGCGGCAGCCTGCTTTTCCTCCCACCTGCCCCCAGACAGCCCACTTGGGGCCCCGTACCTCTGGGCGGGTTGTAAGCTCCCACCCTGCTTCCCCTTGCTTTGAGCTCCAAAGAGACCTCAACAGGTACTTGCTCCCCCAACCCCTCCCAAGGGAGCGTGTGTTGTTGAGTCGAAGACTTCAGCCCCAGCCTCTAGACTGGCTGCAGCTTGGTGCCCAGGGGGCCTGAGCCTGGAGAGCTAGGCCTGCAGTCTGAGTCTGCCCCAGCCTCCCTCACTGCAGTAAACACAGTGGTAAGGGAGATGGTGCCACCTGCTGGTCCTTGTCTGGGAAGAGACTAAAGGAGGGTGGGGTTGTTGTAGCCCCTGGCCCTGGCCCTGAGCTTCAAAATCCCTCACAGTTGCAGCTGATACAGGGAGGCCTGGACCACAGTTGTTACCTCCCTGCATGCACCCCACATGTCATTTCTGCCCCCACTTTTCCAAGAACTCAAGTCTCCTGCTTTCTTGGGAATATACACCCCCTAACCTAGTTCTTTAGCCTTCCAAGAGGCCCTGACAGTATTCCAGGAGTGGCCAGTAGCCTTAAACCACAGAAAAGGCAGCAGAGCTTTTGCTACAGGCTAAAGTTACCCCACCAGCCACAGAGGAAAAAAAGAACGACTCCAGGTCCAGGGGTCCCCACGGTCCCAGAAGACCACCGCCAGCTCCCCAGCCCAGGAAGTATACCAGCAAATTTATGACAAAAATTTATTCAAAAACAGTTTTAGTTTACACAAATGTGTGGTCTATGTACAAAGTAGAAAAGAATTGCTCTTCTAGTCCACCTTCCTTCAGAGATCAGCCGTATGTAACTCTGGGACTACTGTTCTTCTGCACTCAGCTACCCCTGGTTGTCACAGAGCCTCCGAAGGAGAAGTGGGTGGGGTTGGAAGCAAGGCTGCCTCAGACCATGGCCAGTTACACAGAGGTGATGCCTACTCCAGATTCCACTCACCCCCGGCATCAGCTCACCTTTCACCCTGCTCTCCACGTGCCACGGGCACACACGAAGGCTGCTTGGCTCTTGCTGCAGCTGTCTTTCCCCAGGGGAGTGGGCAACTCTGCAAGTCCCAGACCCTGTTCACTCACCATGTCCTAGACTAGTCCCTTCCCCTCCCACCTCTCCCATAAGCAAGGTTGCAAACAGACAAGGATATAAGGCTGGAGCTGGATGGAGGGGAGGGGACATAGGGTGGATAGAGACAGCAGGAATCTGGGCAACAGCATTCCAGATCGAAGACCCAAAGCCCCAGCTCAAGGCCAGGGGGCCAAGAAACCACGCACTCAGCAGAGCTCAAACATGACTCAAACCAACTGCTGTGTTCAGAGTCCCTGGGTGGTGCACATGATTCACGCAATCAGCCGTTAACCAAAAGGTCAGAGGCTCGAGTTCACGCAGAAGTGCCTCTGAGGAAACACCTGTCAATCCAGTTCTGAGAAACCAGGCACTGAAAGCCCTGTGGAGCACGTTCTACTCGGATGTCCACAGGGCTGCCAGGAGTCAGAACTGACTTGGCAAATGGTTTTTATTGTTAAGGGCATGACTGGGGCTTAGATAACACAGGAAGAGGACCTCACGTTGGGCAAAGCAGAGGGCCAGCGAGGGCATGGCAGACCCTCGGTGAGATGGACTGGCACAACAGCTGCAATGCCGGACTCAGACGAGCTGGTGATCAGGAGGGTGATACAGGCCCAGGCAATGTTTTGTTCTGTTGTACATAAGGTCCTCATGAGTCAGAGTTGACTCAAAGGCAGCTCATGTGGCTTAGACAAGCACTTGAGAGTTTGCAAAAAAGCGTGGAGTCCACGTTCATTAGATAAGGATAAAATATTACTCCACAATGAACCTCAGAGAAAGAATCGATAGACCAACACATGTGCATGAGAACAGATGAGTGTATGTATATGCCTGTACACACACGTATGTTGGAAAGGTACATGCATGTATGGCATGTACACATACCCAGGGAGGATACACGCATATATATGCATAGACACACATACATTGGGAGGATGCATGCGTGTATATGGATGTAGACACACATACACGTTAGGACAGGACAGCTTCTCCCTCATGAGTGACACTAGATTAAAGACATTACTAGTCTCTCCCTTCTTGGATAATTTCATCCGAACAGCTGCTGAGCAGATAAAGGACACGGAAGGAATTGGTTCGCTCGCATTGAGTATCTGCAATGACAAACACAGTCTCTTCCACAGCAGGGACAGGTCCAGAGGGCTCTTGGATGCCTTGATCCAAAGAAAAACATCACTGCTGCTACAGCCACAAATGCATGGCTGCGAAGGAGGGACAGGCACACCTTGTACACAAACTCACACACGTATGCAAGTGTATACATGCCGCCTGCAAAGGCATTGGTATGCAGAGAAATGCTCAGATCATCCTATCAACCCTTCACGTGGAATACTGTTCCCACAGAGAACTGTGGGCTGCATATACTCATTCACGAGAGTGAGCTCCTGGCAGTGTTGAAGAAGCCGTCTGAGGGGGCAAGGGGAGGGTCCAGACTGTCCATCGGGCGACGTAAGAGTTCCTCCACATGCCTCGCGACATCCATGGTCTCGTCCAGGTCAATGTCTCCATCCTGGTCGAGGACGGGGTCAGGGCTGGCAAAGAGAGAGGGGCTGTCAGAGGGAGCTGGCATGTCTTCCAGGCCTAAGCCCAATTCCCTCTCGAATCAGTCTCGTGGGAACAGAACCATTCTGGCTGGACAGCCCACCTAAGCTGAGTAATAGTCGCTGGCTCTTTGGGAGACACCCCAGTTGTAGTCTCATCTCCTGCCACTGCATTGAGTGGCCTTATGGAATCCACTTCCCTCTCCTTGTCTTCATCTGAGAAAAAGAGGAGGCTGGGCCAGTGAGCTCTGGCCACCTAGACACTACTCGATTAAATCACAGGCACCATTCAGCGAGAGGCCC